CGTAAATGGGCAGAGGTTAGAATTCACGGGCCATTGGATCGGGTCCCAGTAGCTTAATGGTCTACGAGCTAGCTCACCTTGTAACCAGAAGGTCTTGGGTTCGAACAGTGGCGGTGGGTGCGTACTGCTGTGGAAGAGTCCCAAACTAGGACGGAGGAAACAGATGTCCAGTACTCCAGTGGTGGGTTTTCCACTGGTTCTCTAACCAATGAATGTCAGATCATGATGAAATCATGTAACCAATCTTCCATCTTTGCTACTGTAAGAATCGATTAAATCAGTCCATTCGTTTATAAACTTTTACTCCTTATTATTTGACCACCCTTCAAATTGTCTAACATAAGCGAGTAGAAAGAAACTATTCATCACACCAAGTAAGAATGTGGTGTGTACTACTGATAAGATTTATGAGTAGTACATATATAAAGAGATGTTCATCCACATAAAAAACATCAAATAACAGGGAGAGAGAGAGATTTGATGTCAGAGAAAGCAAGTGATACAGAGTTTTTGAAGGAAGGCCACAAATAACACAACAAGGAATGTCTGTGGAAATGGCTCGGTGTTGAAGATAAGGTGTATATAATTTGGCTATATAGAGATACCGAATTCCAAGTCTCTTGTCATCTACCGTTACAAGAATACTTGCCATCCTGGTAGCAATATTCTAAATGGTTAGAAAATTAAGCTCGAATTCCATCACTAATATGGTTGGATTCATTCAATGAGAGAAATAAATTGTTCATAGCACATCGATACGTTACACTCAGTAGTAATAATCAGGTCAATCGTGTTGGTCATTTAAAACCTGTAGAATTCAGTGATGCTCCCAATGAATGTATTTATACCTAGTGTCTTGGGAAATTCTTAGAGAAAAACGTTGATTTTTACATCACATCATCTGATTGTGTCAGTCTTCGCATAATTCGAGCATAGAATACAGTTTCATAAAATGGCTCATAACATAGGGTTTCCAACACAGTTTAGTTGGTCACAGGTAACTGTCACCCCAAATCCTAATGCTTTAGCACTAGGAATTTCCAGCAACCCCCCCCCTCCACAAACGCACCCAACCCCCGTTAGACATTGATGACGGTTGACACAATTTAATGATCAATTATTCAGCTGATCGATTATTGAATGAAATCGGTTAATAAATATTAATGACTGATATTTTCTCCATGGGAAATGCAGATCGATACAAACAAGATTCAGCGCGAAATTCGCTAGAATGTTTTACACTCTTCATTCGTATAAATGGGAGAGAAAGAGAAGTCCTATCTTTGATGCTTCTTCTATCTCCAACTTGTTGCTTTTCACTTGCATATCTTCCAGTTTGTGGGAAATCAGACATATATCATCATCGGTGAAGTCCAGATCCTCCAAGTTGATTTTGTGTGAGTCCATTTTATGCCTGTTTCCTCATTACCCGTTGTCTGTCTCATTATCCAATCTACTGCAGTCAGGAAGATCATTGGCGATAGTAGACAGCCTTGTCTCACTCCTGTCCTCACTTCGAAGACTTCCGTAAGTTTCCCGTTATGGATTACTTGACATGCAGCATTATCGTACAACTGTTGGATGAGATGTATAATTGTTGTTGACGGGACCCCGTAGTGGCGAGGTAGTTACCAAACCACCTCTCGATCGACGCTGTCGAAGGCCTTTTCAAAGTCGATGAGGTTGAGTGAGGTGGAGAGGTGACATCCTGTATGAAGACAACCGTGGCAACACTATACAGATGACAGATGTATCACATACATGTAGTCTGGAATATCGTGATTAATTTAGGCGAAAATTGTACGATGTTTCCCACTGAAATTATCTGATGTAATTGCATGTCATGCCTTACGCCAATCAATATAACCAGCTTTTATCCAAACTAATACATAGGGCCTCAAGCTACAGGCTTGAAGTTTCTGTGGCAGTGTTTATTTTTACAGGATGGGATTGCTCGCCTCATGACCAACCATTTCTTTTTACCAGCTTTAATTCTAGCTTAGCGAGGTGTAGGAATGCGTCGGCTAGGGATCGAACCCCGGACCATGTGCATGAGCAGCGAGCCTTCCTACCGCTGTGCCACCTACACCATAATCATCCTATATCCCATGAATATTTGTTGTGCTTAGAGGATAAACATGCATAGGGAACTGTGCAGTACAACAATCCAATTCCCTTGTTAATGTATTCAGTCATTTTCCTGTAGAATTTTAAATGAATTTGACCGATGTTTGTCTATGTGTCCTTCACTGGCAGTTCATTTATGACCTCAGATAGTGACAAAAACAACTTTTCACGTGGGTGTTTTCGACTATCGTGAACCTTGAGTAACTAGTTTTATCCATCTAGGTATTTATCAATGGGAAGTGAATGAAATGTACTCATGAGAGGTGTCAACTGATAAATGCACACACACTGTCTCCACTCAACTTTTTATCATGACTGAAAATGACAAGTGAAATCCACACGACAACCGCCCCACCATTTTGTGGATACATTTGTCACGATTATATGGGATCATGTATATTAGGAGACTATTCACAATGTTAATCACATGATTTGTGAGTTGTGACCTATCTAGGTTGAAGATTTTGAGGAATGGAATTAAACCCAATTATTTTGGAACAAACCCTGAATATATGAAACGGACTAATGTAACTTTGAATATCACGCCATGCCACAGAATATCTGTGTCCCCTACATTATGTAATGCACTGAGGTCTCAGAAGTCTTTTATACGTCATTATCCCTAGGGGACACAGAACTACCTGATGTTAACGGACAGAAGCACCTAGGAATCATTGTCAGTGATGATTTGAAAACAACTTAAAATTGCAATCCAGCCTCAGGTTTCATCTAGAATACTGCATACAAGCGGTCAGTCCATGCTTCAAAGAGCAAGCACATATCTTAGAGAGAGTACAAAAGAGTAGGAACCAAATTAGTTAGTGGTATCTCACACCTTCCTTATGATAAGAAGATGGATGATTTAAATTTCGAAGGAAGAGAGGCGACCTAATTCTTTAGCATACCGTATACTTAAGGGTGATTTAGAAACTGACCTTTTCTCCCCTTCCAGAATACATTTATGGGGTCACGGCGAAAAGGTGCTCAAATCAAGGACGATTAAAATACGTGCAGAACTTAGATTCTCTCCTTACCTGATTCAAAAGTATCAGCTCCATCGCTGGATGCTTTCAAAGAGAAGTTAGATATCTGTGCAGAGGTGTACTTTGCAAGGATTAACACAGACCACAAGAGCCTACTATCCTTATCATCTGAATCTATATCTGTGCGTAGCTTGTCGGTTAAACTACTCCTCTCCCACCCCGTCCCTCTGTCTTTTCATAGATTATTTCACTGTTCTACTCATTGAGGGTTACGACAACATGAATCGATAAACGTTGTCACTACATTCTCCATTCCACTTGTTAAACATAGCGACTGAAACGTTCACCTCCCCCCACACCAAAAGTATGGTAGAGGTATGTAGATGACACATTCGCTGTACTTAGAATACAAAATATAGATAGATTTTTCGAACACAGCGACGCAAACGTGGAGGCATTCGAACTGATATTTGGACTTCCGATCATCCCACCCATCCTATGTCAGTAAAAATAGGATTGGTGAAATGTTTAAATGACAGAGCACAGAAACTAAGTAGTACCAAGGGAAATCTAAGACAGGAAGTGATACATATAAAAGAAGCCTTGAAACTTAATAATTACCCGGATAAATTAGTCAGGAAATATGTAAGTAAGTGTAAAAATAAGATAAATAATGATGGCAGCGATAGTGATGATAATAATAATGATAATAATTATAATAGTGATAATAATAATAATATTGATGACGACACCAACAATAAGGAATGTAAATCATCAGTAGTAATCCCATACAAGGAAGGAACCTCGGAAACCTTAAGCAGAATTCTTAGCAAGACAGGAATAAAGGTGACTGGCATTCAGACTGCCCACAAACTCAATTAGAAACAAGTTTTGTCGGTTAAAGGATCCTGCCAGTGGAGCCTTTAAAACAAAACAATTTGGTTTATCTAATACCCTGTCTGCAGTGACTCTCAGGTCAAATACATAGGTCAAACTAGTAGAACAGGGGCAGTCAGACTAGCTGAACCTGAAAACTTAGCAAAATCTAGATTAGTTGACCCGAATAAGATAAGAAATGTAGAGAGTAGTTCCGCTATAGCACTCACTACATGCAGTTACTCAACCATACAATAGGATGGGATAGGATGACAGTTTTAAAATCTAATGTCACAGAGTGAATGGAGAGAGAGAGAGAGATAACAATGGAAGCTTTGTTTACCGAATCAACTGAGAGAGAATATATGTAATAGGAATGATTCAACACCTGTCCATCCGGGAGTCTGGAAATTTCTACTACCCTTACGAAGACAAGTAGGAGAGAACAAAGAAAACTATAAAACTCAAGTTTCGAAGTTCTGTGATTATAATTCATGTTATGGTTATGAAGAATAAATTTTGTTCGAAACCTCGTCATCCAGTAAATAATACCATTTCCCTCACTGTGTGATACATTTAATAAACAAACTAATATGGAATTAAACTCATTGTTTTGAGGCAAACACTGAATACGGAATTGACCAATTTGACCTTAAATACTATCCCATGACTGAATATGTGTTCCCCTGGCACTACATATTTTTAGATGCTTCTTTAAACTACCTATCTCTTCGCCCACTTCATTCTCTAAATTACTGCACTGCTGAAGTAAATTCCTGGATGGTGACTAGCAATGGAATCCAGAATGCCGTTCAGTCAGTCGACAGTAAAGTTCAAAGTCAATGAAATACTCCGACTCTTGTACACGTTGGAGATTACAACAACATGAATCAGTAAACGGTGGCATTATGGAATTCTACAGTCCATTGATCAAACGGCCTACTCACACACTCAGAATATCAAATGCAAAAATACGAGAGACAAAGAAGTACAAAAACTGTCCATCATACTTACCAATATAACTGAAATTCGGTTTCGGATCTTCTTCTCCACTCACTTCTCCGTGTAGAACTCCACCACACAACTGAATATCTCCCAAATGAGATGATCGTTGATTAGGTGGAGGAGGATGACGATGATGCGGAGGATGATGGTGATGATTATGATTGTGACGAGAATGTTGACTGCCTCTGTGAAGTGGAGTTGATTTCATCTGTGGAGAACTGCTTTCATCCAGCGTCACATTACTCCTCTCTCCATTTTGTCGATGAATATAATTATGATATTGAAGGAATAACAGTGAATCAGAGTAATGTGCATTCTCATTAAGTTGACTATGGTGACCACTGAAACGTCCGTCACTGTTGTCGCCATCGTTTTGATGACTGGGTGAATGTTTTGAGTGAAATTGACGATTTGTGTAGAGTGAGTGTGGTGGCGTGTAACTCAGAGTATCCAGCGGTGATTTGATGAAAGCAGAAGATGTGGATGGTGAGGAGTTCATCATATGTACAGTCTGATTTTGTGCATAATAGTTTGTCGATGTGAGATTATTAGGAACATTATTATTACTATTGCAATAGGATTCCATGAATGGTGAAATAGGAAAGGCGTTTGTCGACAGTGTATTGTATGACATAATCACAGTGGAGTGTTGTATGCACCAAAATCGATGTGAATGCTGTGAAAGTAACAGAGATGAAGTTCAGTGGTGACTTGGTGTCTGTACACGTCCTTCTGCTGTGTTTGTGTATATTTGAAAATTAATCAAACAATTTGTTGTCAATGTGAATGTTAATTTTGAGATTAGAAGACATTAAACTATTGATTCTTCTTAACTGTCGCTTCGTTATGGTAGTGGTGGTCAGTTTTGCAATGACTTATGAGTATGGTGATGGAGATGAGAATGTTAGGATGGTAGAGTGAGAGAGGGAGGGAGTGAGGGGTATAGAAGTTGTAAAATATGATGATTTTGCAAACAACAAATCAACAAGTAGATTGGTAGGGTGAGAGGGAGTGCTGAAGAGAGATTGAATTCTCATTGGTTCTCAATTGGCCAATGAGAATCGAGTTTGAACAGACGCATCGTATGCTGATTGGTTAATTTGGATTGAAGTATAAATAATAGTTGGTTGAGCGAACATTATTCATCTATACAATTGGTGCCCATTTGTTTGATTTATTTACCACTACTTCATTGAATTCCGAGTGGAACATAACGGTTGAACAGCACATCTCCATATTATCCTGTTTGCTTCAGTCCTCTTTAGCTGTCTGGCTCCACGAAGTCCATCTGCTCACACTTCCTCTATGTCACGCTTAAATACACACTGAACTTATCGTTTCCCCTCGAGAGCCTGCCCAGTGTGAGTTTTCGCTTAACTGTCTCTCCCGAGTGTATGTTCATAACAATAAGTAATAATAATTTGCTTTATTCTAGAAACAGTACTTGTGGTGCAGTGTGGAATTTTCAGCAATTATTCTACAATATTGCATCTAATTTTATCAAACATTTAAAAGGAATATTTCAAAAAATGAATATAAAGACAACAATAACAAAAAAAATACAAAAACAATAAAACATGCGAAAAAAATACCAAATAGAATGGAAAATAAACAACGATAATAAATAATATTTCAGTATTTGGTAGTGGAAGCTATGATATGTGTATGCGTGGTGAACAGTAACAGCTATAATCATACAAGAAATTATTGAGATGTTCCTAAGAATGTTTATCGCCAAGATGATCAGTTAATTTGATTGAACAACACTAAACAATCATTAAATAAACATTTCAGGGTTGTGTTTTTTATTGTCAGCACTAATGCAGTGTTTGTTGTCGTAGTGTGAGTAATCATGCATAATACAAAAATTTTTAAGATGGTGATAACGGCGTTCACACCCAAGATTATCAGTTAAATAGTGCCGAACAAAAAAACCCACAAAACTAATATTACATGATGGTCAATGGTTACAGGACAATTTTGTAATACTCATAGTGATAATATAGTCGGACCCAGTAGATACACAAAAGAAGGAATAGAATAAAGAATAAAAAAGTAAGCCAATGACAGTAATTTTAGGTAGCTAAGTATGTTTAAGAAGGTTGTTCAGAGTACAAATAAGAGAGTGTAAGGGGGAAATAACAAGGGCCAGAATTATGTTATTAACAACAAAGCAAGTCATAGGTTTCACGCTTAACATTGTCCCTGTCACTTAGAACACGAGCTGGTCAAATATGGTATCGTTGAGTTCCTATACTTGGTTGTACGAGCATATATTATTTTGTACTGATTTCTGGTTCTACCTGATGAGATACAAGGAGAGAGTTGGGAATAGAGGGGGTGTTGGGGGTCAGAGAGTATGGTTTTAGTCCATTTCTCGCATGTATTCAGATGCTTATCCACTAATGTTGTGACGAGCTGACTGAGTTTTACACCCACCACTAGTCCTACTCGTCGAAGTTTCTGTAGCGATTTGGTTGTTTTACAGGGGTAGAGTTGCTAGCATCACGCCCCAACCCCCCCTCTTTACCCGGGCTTGGGACCGGCGAGAAAACTAGTAAGCTGGTAGCCTAGCAAGCTAGTATCTGGCGAGGTTCGTGTGTCGGAGGTGGGATTCGAACCCACGCCCACATCGTGGACCAGAACACCCAGAAGATTACTCTTGAGTCTGGCGCCTTAGACCGCTCAGCCACCCCGACCTTTATTAACAATTGTCTTCGCTGGCTCTATACTGAAGATCAGATGGCCGGGTCGGAAAGAATCACCAACACGAAACTCTGAGTGGGAACAAACAATACAAGAACCAATCGCCCAACAAATATGCAGGAGAAAGTGGAGATGGATCGGACACTCGCTGAAGAGGCCGCCACTGGGTGACATCGCGCGCGTCAAGCCCTCGAGTGGAACCAGGCCGAAAGGGAAGCGGCGTGTGGGACGTCGGTGCAAGGGTGACATGGAGGAGATCGTGTGAAGAGGAGTTGAAACAGTATGGACTAACATGGATGGATGCAGGCGAAAAGTACAGCAGAAGGAAGACAGAAGTGGCAAGTGGAGACGTGCAGTTGAAGCCCTATGTTCCACTAGGAACCCAAGGGAGCAGTAATAACAATAATACTAGTCCTACTAACTACCTTCAACATCCTTCTCAGGATGGTATAGTCCTTTTTCAGTGACCCAGAAAAGACTAACGGGGAGAAGTAATGTAGAGTAGGTAAGATACGAGAGTTCATCCCATCTCTTCTTCCTCCTGCATATCTGTTAAACAGTAGGTTCTTGACTGGCTCGTGTCTGGCTACTTATCGAGCTGAAGAAGGATGCACCTGTAACACCAATGCCAAGTCTCTGAACCACATAGGAGCACTCACTATCACTTAACATTCATGTTTAAAATCCAAATCTTGTTTCTTACGCTGAGTGCTGTATAGATTTCTGCATTGATTCCAGAGTAACGAAAGCCTGTTCGGCCAATATTATGGAAAACTAGGCGACACACTGAACACCTTGAAGAAGCCGAAGAAGTCTGTAGTGAAAATTATTCAGTTGTGTTGTCACTTTTGGTGTCTGACTGAAAGTGTAATTTTTGGGGGATATTCTGATTGAGACGCACTGTGTTCTGTTACAACTAACAGCTGAGTTGTAGTCAACGGGACTTTTGTTTCAAAAGAATCTGTTTGTAATCAGTGTTGAAAAGTCGATTTCTCTAACAAAGAAACTAATATAAATTAGAGTTGAGAATTTAATTGGTGGATGGTGACTAACAGTGGAATTTACCAGGGTAACGCGTATTTCGTCCTATTTGGGACTCGTCTGCCAGCTGGATGTACCTGCAACCCACCAGTGAATGATGATGTTCCCACCGAGGCTCGAACCCACCGCCCATAGTTCCCAACGCCAATGCATTATCTACTGGACCATTTTGGGCCACGATAGCCACCTCTTGTGCAACGGGTCATATTAATTATTGAATTGAATTTTTGATTTTCCCGTCGATTGATTGGACTGAAGGTACATCCAGATGACCAGTACCAAATAGGACGAAATGTGCGTTATCCTGGATTCCACTGCTAGTCACCATCCACCAATTAATTAAATTCTCATTAAATGCCCAGACATCGTTGAAGCATCTACCCAAGAAGCCGATCTGTCAACCTGAGACCGAGCACTTCGGTTCAATCACTCAACGGGAAAATCTAAAATTCAATTTGAGTTGGGAATTATTATGAAAAAGAAAGACATTTGTGCCGAGAAATAGTTTCCCTTCTTATGGTATTCTACAACTGTATTGATAGTTATTGTAGACAGTCAGCAGTCCACTGTGTGTTAAATATGAAAGAATAATCGTTAGACGACATTCCTGGCAATGCGTTGGGTCCCGTTGGCTGAATGGTATATGAGCCAGCTAGTTGGCCTGGTAACCGGAAGATCGTGTGTTCTAACCCCGGTGGTGGGTGCGTCCTGGCCATGATTCCCAAGCACCAGGATGAAACAACTGGCTGTTCAGTACTCCCTGTGGCTGGTTTTCAATGGTTCTCTAACTGATATCAGTCAATCCATGGTCAAACTCGTAAAAATATAGTAATAATAATAATAATAATAATAATAATGATAAGTCACGAAATCTTCTAAGCTATCTGTTAGGGTTAGGCTTGAACCAGAAATATTCTCTCAGATCAGCCGTAACCCCGAGAATATTTCACCAGTAGTGATGGCGGACAACAGATTATTGGACACCTTTAGAGGAGTCTAATATCTAATCGATAAGACAAGCACCTCATCCATCTCTGGTTGTTGTTTTTGTTGTTGTTTTTTATTTTATTGATTAACACGAATTCCTGGAAATGAAACTGTACACCAACTGATAAATTGATAGAATTCAGTCTGCACCAAACACAAAGGACTAGACACATTACACTAGTTAGTTACTGACTAGTGTGCAATCAAAAATAATTCAATACAGTCCTACAGGAGGTCAATCGCGAGCCAGCCCGAATAACTACTCAGTGGTAACGTCTCTGACTGCAGGCAGCACTGGCTGACGCGGGTTTCAATCTCAGAGGGCACTTGAGTTCCTTCAAGGCGGTTGGAGATACGCCATGTTGACTGACTGACTGACTGATGAGTCCCAACTAGCACGAAACCGAGGTCAGACGAGGCTTCCTGTGGCCGATTACCTCCAACTGTTTAAATGAACTTTCCTTCTCCTCATCATCATCATCATCATCATCATCAAAAGAATGCTTGAGCGGGTATATTTCAACTGAGAATTCTGCCTTTCACTTTGCTTAGTAACTCCCTCCCTCTATAGAAGATAACGACTTCTGTGTTAGGGGTGTGCAGTTATTTTTGTTATAATACGAGAAGGAAAGAAAGAAGATTGTCAAACTACAGGTCAATAACAAAAATTGATGGGTACTTTCAAAACTCATGAGATGAGTCAACTCATTGATGACGTCATTACTGTATATACATAACTGAATTCCTCCATGCCTCCTCCTTCTTGTCCATTGTCTCCATGTCACTGTGAGTATCCTACGACACGAATCAAATAGAAAATAGATAACAGGATAATAATAATAATAATAATAGTAATAATAATAATAGTTATTATTACAGAAGTGAAATTATGGTGATCAT